ACCAAATTTGCGAGATCTGCCCTGCAGAATATATATCAGAAACGTCATTCCCAATGCACAGGTCAGAAGCATAACTTTTTCTTCATTTGTTTAATTATTTACTACTCAGTGCAGATCTTAAACAGACTAAAGAATGAGCAAATAATAACATATACCCAGTAAAGCCAGTAGTCATAGAAGCAATGTCACCAAGGTAGACATCTTTTGCCAAAGGAAGTTCTTTTTGGGTAGCATGCACCTTTAGAATCTCTTCTCTTCCTCTCCTATCTGGTGTTTCCACCTAATGAGAAAAGACAGGATTTAATGTGATATAAGATTATGTACATTCGTATATAAATTCATATATACAAACATATGCGGAACACAATGTTTCCAAGTGAAGCTTGGTTTCATATCATTTAAAACTCAGAAAGATACTAGAAACAAGGACTACGAACCATAACCACACGATCAAATCTCCCTGGTCGACGAAGTGCTGGGTCTAAGACATCTGCGCGATTAGTTGCTCCAAGAACAATAACTGCAGAGCTGCTGTCAAATCCATCCATCTCCTGCATTTGAATTCATACACATGAATGTCAGTGGCATGTAGCCAAAATCACCCAAACACTCAAAACTAAGTGCAGACAAAAGCTTACAGTGAGCAACTGATTCAAGGTTTGTTCTCGCTCATCATTGCTGACAATACGGAATTTTCCATCACGGCTTTTTGCCACAGCATCTATCTGTGCAAAAGAAGAAATACTGAAACGAATCCACTAAAAAATATATGGGCCAAGAATCAAGATAGTTACACAACAGAATTACATTATCCATATCCGTACCTCATCAATAAATATTATAGATGGTGACTCCTTTTTTGCCCGTGCAAATAGATCCCTTACACGAGAGGCACCCATGCCAACATACAACTCTACAAACTCACTAGCAGAGCAACTTATAAAGGGCACATCAGCTTCCCCAGCCACAGCCTTGGCAAGAAGAGTCTTACCTGTCCCAGGAAGACCCACCTGCAAGATAAACAAGCCATGCTTACTAGTTATTACACAAACAAAGAACAAAGGCATCTTCTACAAATCCTCCAGAAATGCACTGAATTACAACCCGTGAATGGGACCATTCAAGGGTAAAACTATATGATTCTCCAGGTGGCGATTGATACAATACACCCTAACAGTAGACCAAGTGCAAATCAAGTGTCAAAAGGATACTACAGAGAGTACCCATACGTGAGTAGTAGCGCTCTATGTTACCCTATCTACACGTGGAGTCAATTCCCTATCAGTTCTGCAGCCATGCTAAAAAAAACTTGTGGCATGGGAGATATCCAAGAGAAAGACCCACCATAGTTGGCACATCTTTCAACAATAAATGCTTAAGATTTGAATTAAGACCATTATGACTTCCCACTCCCTGGTTTCCGAAGTCTAATTCATCATAGATAAACTGGTCTTTGGTAAAACTCACCAGGAGAACTCCACGTGGAGGACGAGCACCAAGGCGTATATATTTGTCTGGATTCCGAAGAAATTCCTGGACAGTAAACATTGGCATAATTAAAATTGAAATAAAAATTCAGAAAACAGTAGGAGGCCTTTAGGGTCCTCTAAAAGACTCTGATGATTCATTGGTGATGTCAAAGTAAACTGAGGAGCATCCAACATACCACAATTTCTTCCAACTCCTCTTTAGCCTCATCCACACCAGCAACATCAGCAAAGGTTATTGCTTCTCCTTGTTCAGATGCTTTAGCACCAGCAGAGCCCCCAGATTTCCTGTTCCTAATCTGACCGGCTGTTTGCTGTACATAAGAATGTATTCAATGAGAACCATCTAGAACAAGTTTCAAAAAACAAAAAAGAAAGAGGCAAAGGGTTGAAAGAAAAAAAACACTGCTGGCTCGCACCTGAGTAAAGTTTACAGGGAACCTGTGGAGAAGCCATGCAAGCACAGCAACATAAAACAAAGATATCTGCAAGGAGCATAGCCAAGTCAACAGATTAAAACTTGTTTGCATGAAACATCTTTAACTTCTATCCAAAAACACACCCACGAACAGAAAAGGAAATGTATTACGAATAGAATACATGTTAAAACATAGGGGTTGCGGGTTATAATAGTTAATGCATTGGGATTAACATAATACTACACTCAGTCCTCCTACACATAAAAAATCGAATATAATTCACGTATTAGCTTAAGTAATTAACTTCCAATAATGGTTACTTAGTTCACAAGAATTGATCTTTTCTTGTTTTTGTGAGTATAATCTTTTCAGCAGAAAAACCACACAGTATCTAATGATAAAAAAACTCACCATTGCAGAGTTCAAGAATCCACCAGACCGCTTATCTGGCGACCCGAACTCCACCTCATTCTCAAGCATCTTCTCATATGGCGTCTTGATATCAGTTGGCCTTGTCGTCGTGTAAACCACCCTCTTCGTCGGAGCCACGCTTCTTACCAAAGCCTCGGATTCCTGAAACTTGCTCGCCCCACCACCACTCACTTCACTTTCTTGCTCACCCTGAGTAGACTTCAACTTAAACATAACATGAACCCCATCAACCTCAACCTTCTGCACCTGGTTACTATTAATCTTGCTCAAAAAATCACTGTACGGCACGCTAATGAACGTAGTCGGTGTCCTTGGCTCCGACCCGGGTAACGGAATTCCGGGCCGGAGCAACCGCATAACGAAAATAACAATACCCAATTGTAACAGCAAGATTCCAATTTCTTGTGCCTGAACTATCGGCTGCCACCGCCACTTCCCTCCTTTCGACCACCACCATTTCTCTTTCTTATGACTATCTCGGCGCCGATTAGAAGCCGGCGAGTTCGAATTCGGTGGGTTATTGTTCACCGCCTGGCTCTCCGTCGCATTCGCCTCGCTCTTCTCCCCGGAATCGGTGTCCTGACCGCTCGCCGAAGCCCTAACCGTCCGAAACCCCCCATGGCTCCTCCAGAGGCCGCCGAACCTGTCCGAAACTGGCACAGCTCTGCCGCCCTGTCCGTACAACGTGACCAGAGGGAACACCGCCGTGTTCGAAACGCATCGTCTCGCTTCCTCGTTGAAAAACCTCGATTGACTGCGGAGGAATCCCAATCCATGGCGGGAGTGATACGCATTCAAATTCAAATTCAAGCAAAACCTATTGTGGATTGTTGGACGTAAATACTCGACCGACGACATCCCAATAAAAACCCTAGAAATTCAAAATTCCCAATTCAAAAGTTCATATATATATACACAACATGTTTTTATATTCCCCCAATCCGATAAAAAAAAATAGAAATTCTTGAGCTTCGTCAATCGCGCTGTGAGGCAAAAGGTTGGAACTTTTTGGGACACAGAAGAGAGAGAAAGAGAGATGATAAAAGTACAGGTTGAACTTGGGATGCGAACCGTCGGATGAAGTAGGAGTTGGAGATCTTAACCGTCAACTTCCTCCTTTCGGCTTTTAAACTCTCCAAGAGACTTATCGTTATCCTCAGTTTTATCCCGTAATACGTTTAAGAAGATATCTAGGGCCGTGGTTGTCTGCGTGTCAACAATGGTGTATGATTGTTATACTGTCACAAACAGTATGTATTACATGTTATTATAATATGAGCGAAGTCGTATGCACTGTTCTAAAGATTTTCATCTAGTGCCGTTTAGGTTCCGTCTAAGTTCTAGGTAGCTGGCCACCGTTCTGATTATTGTTTAGAAATTTAAAAACTAAGAAATGACGCCTAGATCTGTTGAGGCGCCTGCTTAGCCCGTCTAGACTCACTTAGGTTTGGAACTCACTTACAAAGAAAACAAATAATTTTCATTTTACATTTTATTTTTTCAATAAATTGTAATAAATTTGTTGAATACTTAAATGAACACGCATTATATGTTTGTTTCTCATGTTTTCATTATATTATATTACTTCATAATATATATGTCATTCTATTTTGCGGTTCATAATGAAACTATATATATTTTAAGTATAAACAAACATTTATTTATACTAAATATAATAGATTTACTTAAATCTGTCTAATCTGCCTAGAAGCCCGCTAGCTGCCTAAGCGCTAGACCCTAAGGCGCTATCCGATTAGCCTCTAATGTCTTTTAGAATTTTTGTGGTACGTTTAATAATTACACACATTTAGATTGATAATGGTCTAACCGCATTTATGCTACATTTGAATAGTACCTCGCAACACATGAGGGTTGTAAAGCGGATTAATACGGCTCGAGTTCATATCAACTTGGCACAAACTTGGCTCATCGGTTAGGAATAAAAACAAATCAGTTCAAGTTTGATTCAATAGAAATAGTTGAGTTTGAGTTTTAGTATGTTTTGCTCATAAAGTTGTGAGCAACTCGATTAAAAGTTTATTTAACGAGAATATACACCCTGATGTTAGTTTCGACGTGTGTGCAAGGATTGGGCTTGACTATGAGTAATGCAAATTGCAAAGAGTCAAATAACGACCGCCACCTGTTTTCTATTTTGTCCTGCCGAGGTTTGTGCGATGGAGGCTTGGACTAATGTCCTGAAACGAAGGATCGTCTTACAAAAACTAGGAGCCAAGAGAAAAACAAGTTTGCTAAATCCGGAGGAGCTGCAGAGAAACATACACACAAAGCAAAAGATTGTGAGATACTTTCATCCTTTTTCGTAGGCAACAAATTTGACCCCTCTTCGTCCCTCATTTGCTCTTCCTTTCTGCCTCACATTCTTACGGTTTTACAAGGTTTTATTGTATCGAAATCGTCATCCATCTCAAAAGTTCTTAATCTTGTTTTCCTTCTTCAAAACCCGATTTTCGACAATTTTTAAAATGCGGGTTTGCTTTCGTTCCTCTGTTTCTAGTCCGAGAACTGCGTAAATGTACATTTCTCCATTTCTAGTCCTAGTACTGCTCAAATTGTGCTAGGTTTTAATGTAGCAATTGTTCGCTTAGTTTGGTAATTTTTTCGGGTTCTGTATTTTTCGAGATTGTTCAAAGAGGTAGATATGTCTGTTGGAGCAGAGACTTTACTAGTTTGTGTATGGAGATTGCTTAAACTTTCCATGAAAACTAGTAGCCTATGTGTGCGTAGGCATCCATTTATTTCCGCCACTTTGTTGTTCTTCTACCTCTTTTATGTATTTTTCAAAATTTTCGTCTTCTGGTTTCCGTTTCTGGTCTGCATTGTTGTTCTTGTTAGATTATTTTACACTTCCGGAGGACTCACTATCTTAGAAGAGGCCAAACGAGATGAAAAACGAAGTACTAATGATCAAGTGTCGTGTAAAAAACCCGACCATCCTGTTGGAGGTGATGGTGTTGTCAACCGAGATGGGTGCACCTTAATGAGACAGAAAAGCAGACGAACAAATGTCTCGAGAAGGTGCATAGAAGCGAGTGGACAAGATTATTACAATGTAGGAAAAGGCATTTCTATTTCCAAAACTCCGAAAGATGGTTTGATTGGTGGAACTGCATTGATTGACAGAAGCAAGAAAGCAGTCATGGAGGAGAAAATGAAATGTGCTTTTGATAAGGGAGAGAGCTCCACGGTGAAAGCATCAGCAGAAGAAAATATTCAGGCTCTTGTTAAGCAACACCATTCGGTCCTAGAGTCCGACATTTCAGAATCTCAACTGTTATCTTCTGATGATTCGGACGAGCAGCCTGACAAATCTAAAGGTGGTGGAACTAATGGAGAAGAGACGCAAGAGGATGGGAACAAGGCGGTGCAGTGGACAGATGATGATCAAAGGAATCTTATGGATCTCGGGTTTTCGGAGATGGAAAGGAACAAAAGGCTGGAAAGTTTGATTGCCAGGAGAAGAGCAAGAAAGTTATTCAAAATGCAAGTTGAGAAAGGTCTACTTGACCTGGATACTATCATACCAGGCCAGATTGCTCCAATTTTTGTTGAAAAAAACACCCCATTTGATTACGCGAAATTATTTTCAAGCAGTCTGGACACACCTGGTTCAGCCCCTTCCATTTTGTTACCAATGCAAAATCCATTTGATCTTCCGTACGATCCACATGAAGAGAAACCGAACCTTATGGTGGATAGTTTCCAACAAGAATTCACGACTGTTCACCAGAAGGAAATGTTATTTTGCCGGCACGAGAGCTTCTCTTCGGGAGCTGCTTCATATCCATTGGAACCCAAGAGAAAATCATTGGATGGATTGGGGTTTTCCGGATTTAAAAAGCCATCAGGTGAGACGAACTTTTTGTGTTTCCCGCCTTAGAAAGTTTTTTGTTGCTTGTAGTTCAAGTTATGATTCTTAAGTCTTAAATGCATCCATATTTCTTTTTCTTCTGAAGAGACAGGAGCTCACGATAGGCATATCGAAAGAATATTGTCGGGTAAGCATGACGAAGTTATTGAAGCTCTGCTGTCAAAGGCACGCAACAACATGTCCGACATTGGCAGCAATGCTGATACCGCTGAAAGCAGAACCGAGTCCCATCTTATTGAATCCCCCATTCCGGCAATAAGTTCAGTGAAACCGAAAGATGAAGGAAAAAGCGAAACTCAGAGGGTGACTGACACAAAAGCAACGAACAAGATGGAAAGTAGAAGTGTAGAGATGGAGTCACGCGCTGATGACAGTAACGATGAGTCAAGCTCAACATCATATTCTGAAGACGATGAACAGAGCTCTCATTCTACTAGACCTGGGCCCTCACAAAATGCAGGATCAAAAGTGAGGCATTTTCCACCTAAACCCCTAAGTTGTTCGATTCCTATGAGCAAATCTGTGAAGGAGTTGTTGTATGATTCTAGCCCGTCTGCTAACAAAAGGAGTGGATTAGAAGAACGCTTGTTTTATTCTGAAAGGGGCACTTGTCATACTCCTACATACTCTATAGCTTCTGACCTGCAGGTGGAGGTTTCAGAGGCTGGTTCACCTTCGCTGACAGATAACACGGCCAATTCACCTTCAGATAAGGAATCTGAGACGTTGGATGGAAACTTTGAAAAAGAGTATGTGTGGACAGCATCGTCTCAATCATCAAGAACAGAAGAAAATGAATCAAAACTTTGGGACGCATGTGGACTCAGCGAGAAATACCTTGCAAGTATAAGATTTTCGGGTAACAATAAGAACATCAAGGATTCTTCTGAATCATCATCTATGCACATGCAGCACCTAGATGAACTAGATGATGTGTGCTCGTTGTCATCTTCTATAACAGACTTACATGGAGACATCCAAACCCATTCAATGGGTTATGATGGAAACAGCTATGACGATGTCAGGCAAGCGGTTGAAAAAGTTGGAAAGCTAAGGACTTCCAGCTCATGCACTGTACTTTCACTTGAAAACCAAGACGAAACAACGAAATCAAATGAAAACTTGGTGACTCATTCTTCTGCAAAACCAGAGGTAAATTATTTTATGTTGCAATGTGGTTGAAGAATTCTAATAGAATTCAAGCAATGAGTAGTTCAAATTTCAACCAATATAAATCACCCAAGTTTGAGTCCCATTCTCGAATACTCTGAGAAAATATCGTATTGTAAAAAAATATACTTCTAATCTATCTGCCAAAAAACTTTCAATTAATGTTTTATATGCAGAAATCTATTGCTTTCTCTCTGACTTCTTGGATATATATTGAACAGGAATCATTGAATCCCCTCGATAAGACGACAAAGAAGGTGAATACGCCAGCAATCAATGCCACTAATTTGAAAGATGAGAGGACAAATGCAGACAGAGATGGTGGAGACCAGATATTGATTAAGCAAGAGACTCGGGGAGAGTCGTCAAAGCCAAAGGAGGTGACTATTTTAGCATCCAGTAGGCATTCAGAGGAAATTTTTGCGAATTCTGATAAACGCGATGTTTCCTTGGACACTAAGCAACTAATCAAGGACAATAAGAATTCAAATTATACTGAGGGAAATTTTCAACAGGAAATTGAAAATGAAGACGAAAAAGAACTGGATGCAAAAACGAACTCAAACCCAATTCAAGGCAGAAAGGATGACCAACGTACTGCAGAAAGCAGAGTTTATAGTGATCGTATTCCATCAGTTGTGCAGAAAGATCTGGTGAATGAAGACGTTGTTGTTGAATCCAATTATTTATCATCATCATCATCTCTGACATCTGTGTTACTAGAAGATATCCCAAGGGATCAAACTTCATCATCAAATTCCAACCCCGAAAGACACATTGGTGTCTCAGAATCTAAGGTGGGAGGCAAGGTGAAAAGCGATTCATCCACAATGAAGCCACATGACAGCACATTTTTGACACCTCAAACTGCAGTGCAACCTGTTGAGGAATCAACAAGTGACTGTTCAAATACGAGTTATTCAAAAAAATCACAGGTTTGTAACTCCTAGCAACTAAAGATACATACTTTCAATCAAATTTTATTCTTTTTGTTTCTCTAGTAAAATGTTCTCTCATGATTTTCGGAATCAAAATTGTAAGGTTTGACTAATACTTACATTTCACATAACAGGAACAATGTAAGCCTACAGAAAAATCCGAGGAAGCCAACATCATACTGACTGAACAAGCTGAAGAAATTGGAGATCTATCACAAAAAACAAGAGAAACTGCTTCAGAATTAAAAAAACAAGCTGCGGAAATTGAAAAAATATCTGGAAAAGCAAAAGAAGCTGCTGCCGAACTGAAAAAACCAACTGAAGAAAAAGGAAACTTTTCGCAACAAGCAACCGAGACTATTTTAGAATTAAAAAAGTCTGCAGAAGAAATTGAGAGCATGTCACAAAAAGCGAGAGAGGTTGCCGTTGAGATGAAAATTCCGGCTGAAGAAATTGTAAACGTATCAAAAAAGGCAGCAGAAACTGTAGAGTTGAAAAAAGCAGCTGAAGAAATAGAAGGCGTATCACAGAAAGCAACACAGCCTACAGTAGAACCTAAAAAACTGATAGAAGAAATTGAAAGTGCAACACAAAAAGCAACTGTGGCTTCTACAAAATTGATAAAACCAGGCGAAGCAATCAAAGAGGTACCAGAAAAAACTACAAAGGTTGATGCAGAACTGAAGCAATCAGTAAAAGCAGCGTCAAATGTATCACAAAAGGCAACAGAAACTGCCGCACGGTCAAAAATACCAATTGAGAAAATTGAAGATGCATCGGCAAAGACAACAAATGTTGAAGCAGAAATAACGAAACCAGCAGAACAAACAGGAAATATATCTCAAAAAACAATAGAAGCAGCTTCAGAATTGAAAAACCAGGGTGATGAAATTGGAAGTGTATCAAGAAAAGAAGTCGAGGCTACTGCAAAGGTGGAAAAACCAGCTGAAGAAATTGGAAGTGTGTTATGTAAGGCAACAGAGGCTCCGGTGGTACTAAAAATACCATCTGAAGAAGTTGGAATAATATCACAGAAAGCAAGTGAGGCTCCTGCAATATTGAAGCATCTATCCGAAGAAATTGAAAATGTATCACAAAAAGCAAGCAAGACTCCTACAGAACTGAAAAAACCGGCTGAAGAAATTGAAAGTGTATCGCAAAAAGCATCAAAGGCGGCCACAGAATCAGGAGATTTATCTAAAAAAGTTGAAAATGTACCAAGAAAAAAAATAGAGATAGTTGCAGAGTTGAAAAGCCCAGCAGAGGAAAATGGAAACGTTTCAATTGGGGTAGCTGTAGAAGTGGAAAAACCAGTTAAAGTTGGGAGTGAATCACAAAGAGCAACTGAGGCTACTGTAGAACTGAAAAAGTCGCCTGAAGAAGTTGGAAGTGCATCACAAAAAGAGACGGAGGCTCGTGTAGCTTCGAAAAAATCATCTGAAGAAATCGAAAGTGGATCACAAAAAATGATAGAGGCTCCAGAAAAAATAAAACATCCAGTTGAAGAATTAGGTAATGTATTACAACAAGCAACAATGGCTGGGCTAGAATTACCACCAGCTAAAGAAACTGAAAATCTACCACAAAAAGCATCAGAGGTTGCTGCAGAATCAAAAAAAACAAGCCGAAAATTTTGAAAATGTATTGGGGAAAACAGCAGACGATAGTAAAGAGTTGAAAAAACCGCCTGAAGAAGTTCAATATGTCTCTCAAACAGAAACAGAAGCTTCCGCAAGAATGAAAGAAACAGATGAAAAGAACGAAAGTGTACCAACAAAAGCAACTGAAGCTGCTACAGAAATGAAAAAATTTGCTGAAGAAACCGAGAGTGAATCGACAAAAGAAACAGAGGTCCCAACAAATTTAAAAGGGCAAGCTGAAAGAATTGCTGCTGCATCACAAAAGCAGTAGAGATTCCAAGAGAACTGAAAAAGTCTGCTGAAGAAACAGGAACTGGACCAAAAAAATCATTAGTCTACAACAGAGTTGAAAAAACCAGCTAAAGAAAGCGAAATAGCATCACAAAAAACAGTAGAGATTCTGAGAGAACTTAAAAGGTCAGCTAAAGAAATAGGAATTGGATCAGAAAAATTAATAGTCTGCGACAGAATTGAAACAAACAGCTAAAGAAAGCGAAGCAACATCGCAAAAACAAGTAGAGATTTCGAGAGAACTGAAAAGGCCGGCTGAAGAAATAGGACTTAGATCGGAAAAATCAATAGAGTCTGCAGCAGAATAGAAAAAACTAGCTAAAGAAAGCGAAGATGCTTCACAAAAAGCATTAGAGCCTGCTACAGAGTTAAAAAAACAAGCTAAAGCAACGTCAAAAATCATCGGAACCTGCTGCAAGTTTGAAAAAAACAGCCGAAGAAAGTGGAAATGTTTTGCAGAAAGCAATCGGAGTTTCTTCAAATGAAAACACTTGACCTCTTAAAATTAATGAAAAACATGAATACACCACACCATCAGTTGTTTGTATGAAATTCTTAGTCCTATTACAATCTAGTACAACTGAAAAGATTTTACGATCTTAGCATATTCAGGTCAATTTACTTTCGCACAGGGCCCTGAAATCTTAGGGCTGGTGCTGATGTAGCACATAAGGCAAATGAGGGAACTATTGAGGTGAAAATGCATATTGAAGAAATTGTAAATGTGGCAACAAAAGTAACGGAGGCTGCTCCTGAATTAAAAAGAAACCAACTACTGAGGCTACTGCAGAATTGAAAAAGCCAGTTGAAGAGATCCAAACTTGACAAAAACTTTACCGAAGATATGGAAAATGTATCACGAACAGAAACCAAGGTAAGCAAATTATACATTCCACGAAAAATATATTTTTCTTCTTCTTGGTGAATAAGCAAACGCAAAACTTGTTAAATTGAACAGGTACTAATGAATTTGATGATCTAGTAGTCATGACAAGGATTCCAGAACAAATTAGAAGAAGTTAGTCTGTAGAAGAAGTGAATAACCGTGGCTTGTCACCCATTGTTTCTCTTTTTAAAAAAAAAAAAAAATATTAAAAAGTAATGTAATGATTCGCGTAACCGCTGTGGCATAAAAAAATAATATGATGTTCAATAACAGTTGACCATATTCATTTGGTTCTCCAAACGATTAGAGTAGGAAACCTTTGCGTGTTTCAAATATTTGAAACATATCAATTTTCTTTTGTCTTCCCCTTTTTTTATGAGAATTCAATGTAAATGTATCTACTTTGTTGAATTCGGATAAATTTATACCTCATCTTTGATCACACAAGAAAACTTATACATTGTAAAACAAAAACCTTTTTTTGAAACCTCAAGAGGGAGGGTAGAGGTTAAGAGATGTGTACGTGCTTTTTGGATAGATATTCTAATATGTAGTCCAAAATACCAGGAGAGAAATTCAAGCTTGAGTGCTAATAAGGTACAATGTGTTAGCTAACTTGATTACGCCAATGTACGAAAAAGGCGTGCTAAAATCACTAGCCAATATCTATTATGAATGGTGGATGCGCAAGTTACCCCTAAAATTTGTTGACAAACAATTGACTAATTATGAATGGTAGATGCGCAAGTTACCCCCAAAAATTTGTTGACAAACAATTGATTAATAAGCTTAATATAGTAAGCGACATCCACAATCACAAGAAAGTTAGATTTAGACAAAGCAAGAAGGCTGGTGACATCCTCCACACAACAAAAGGTCGGTAGTAATATAGTAATGTAGAGTATTGTCTCAAAAGTTAAAAAGACTTTTACGTAACAGGATGTCACGTACTATTGAGTGCAAAATTTAAGAAGTTTTTTTTAGTTAAAATAGTCTTTAAAGCTGACATAACTTTTCATTTTGACCCTTCCAAATTTGAAATTGATATAAATGGTTCTTGAGTTTGTCCATCATCATCATTTTGGTCATTCCGTGAAAAAATATGTTAAAAAGATTCATAATGACAAAAATATCATCAATTTAATAAACAAGGAGCCAAATTAAATTGACAAAAATTAATGGTATTTTTGTCATTTTATCCTTATTTAATAGATGACAAGTATTTTTATCATTTTATCTTTATTTAATAGATATTTTTCACAGAATGAGCAAAATGATTGATGTTTGACAACTAAAAAACTATTTCTATTAGTTTCAAATCTTAAAGATCAAAATGTTAATTTCAAATTTTAAGGACCAAAAATAAGATGTTAGGCTAATTTCAAAGACTATTTTAGATAAAAAGACATTTAAAATGTACGATTGATTTGAGATGCCTTTATTCGGGGCGATAGTGGAAAATTGGTGGCTTCCAGACAAGCGATGATAATTTATGTAATAATATGCCGGCTTCCAGACAAGCGATGATAATTTATGCCAGACAAGCGATGATAATTTATGTAATAATAGGCTGCAATGCAACTCTGCCGGCTAAAATTGGTCAAATTTACTTGTAACACTCAGAGTTGCATACCTGATCTGTTCAGCTGAAGCTAGGAAGAAGAAGGAAGAAGCAGAAGAGCTTAAGCTTGCTCAAAGATGGACAAAGTCAACGACTTGAATTGCATATACAGAAACCCGAATGAACCCATTGAAGCTCGAGTCAAGGACCTCCTTCCGCGCATGACTTTGAGAGAGAAGGCCGGCCAGATGACCCAAATCGAGCGCCGGGTCTCCACCCCAGAAGCCATCAGAGACTTATCAATCGGTACCCCATGGCTTGAACTTTAACATGCATGTCTTTACTTTCTTTCACGCGTTTCATAAAGAATCTGGAGGGCAATATATGCGTTTCTATCATGCAGGGAGTATACTCAGTGCTGGAGGCAGTGTGCCCTTTGAGAATGCCTTATCAAAGGACTGGGCAGATATGGTCGACGGGTTTCAGAGGTCCGCACTTGAAAGCCGGCTCGGAATACCGATGATATATGGGATTGATGCGGTTCATGGGAACAACTGTGTATATGGTGCCACCATATTCCCTCACAATGTTGGTCTTGGGGCATCCAGGTTAGCTTCATTCACTGGTTTTTAAGTTCAAAGTTGTAATTGATCCAATTTTTTACTTCTTGTTGCTGCTTTGTTTGGTTACTAAGAAAATGTTGGAAAAGAATTGAAATTTATCATTTATGTTTTGTATCCCTTCTCATTACTAGGGGTGATATTGGTACAATCACCATACCAAAACCCATGTACCAATTACCATACCAAATTTTTGGTATGACAAAATCTGTTACCATTATCGTGCTAAACTTTCAGTATACCGAATTTCGGCATGTCAAATCGTTTGGTTGACATGGTATGATAATGGTAATTACCCTTTTGCTTTGGGCCAAAATTTGAGTTTTTTTTTTTCAACCCAATTCAAGGCCCAAACGTGTTTTGGTTACTCCTTTTGGGTTTCTAAAACTTTTTTTTATTTAATTATGAGAATTTTATAAAAATTCATTTAAGAAACAAGAAGTAAATAGATGGAAGAATTGCTGAAAGAACCCAATATCCCTAAAAAAAAATAGTATAAAGATTCCTATATTCCATCCCTATATTCTTTAAAATTGTACGAACATTAACTTGATAGACGAAGTCAGGGAGAAAGACATCCCAATTTGATGAAGGAGAAGATGAGATGGACTCTGGAGACAGAGAGTCATCGGAACTGGATCAGCAGAGATGAAGTCAGTGGCTAGATGAGTGAAAAGATGAAGAGTTGCAGTGTAAGAAGGCTTGGGTTTTTTTATTGGGAAAGTAGAAGTTAGAGGGTGAGATGATTGGATAAATGACTAGGAAAAACAATATAAAGTGCATATATAATGATAATAATACCTAATTATATAGAAATGAATAAATAAATGATATAATATTAATAGTAGTGGTACGGTACGGTATACCACTGGTAATGGTTTTGAATACCATTACCGTACCATTACCAATGATACAAACAACTTTGGTATGGTACGGTTGGTATGGTAATTTGGCAAAAAATTTCATCCTTACTCATTACTCAAACTGGAAGTTGAATGGCAAGAACATGGACCCAAGATTTCATCTTTTCTGGAACAGCAAGTTAGTCATAATTTATAATGCTACTCAAACTGAGATTGTGAATCCCACGTCAGAGAAATAAAGCCTTGCATAACAGTTTAAAAGATCTTGGGTCTCTCCAACCGCCAATTGGTTTTGCGTTGGATACTCGTATGGGATTAGAGCAGGCTACGTGTTAGGTATTTGGTTGGAGTGACGCTACACATGAGAGGGAGTGTTGAGAATACGATTCCCACATCAGAGAATAGAAGTCTTGCCAATTGGTTTTGAATGGAATGCTCACATTCTAATAGCTTGCAGAGCGTAACCACCAATTGGTTGGTGGCTATTTCTATGTTCTCATTGTCCCTTTAATTTGATTTCCTTGTAGTGGTTGATATATTCGTGTTGCCATTCAGTTAAAAAGAATGATACAAAGAAAGAAAAAAATAAACCCAGAAGGAAAAAGTGGAGTTAAATTACTAATTTATAGATACAAGTTCTGTTTTAGTCCTGTATTTCCCCTCATCTTATATGAACTGAGTGACAGAGATGCTGATTTGGCTGAAAGGATTGGTGCTGCAACTGCTCTTGAAGTCAGGGCCAGTGGCATTCACTATACTTTTGCTCCCTGTGTTGCTGTATGTCACGAGCGACATATGTTTGTTATTACAATAAGACTGATGAAATTAAATGGATTAGTCATGCAATTCACTTGAATGGGTTCTGACAGGTTTGCAAAGATCCCAGATGGGGAAGATGCTATGAGAGTTTCAGTGAAGACACTGAAATTGTTAGAAAGATGACTACCATTGTGACAGGCTTGCAGGGGCAGCCACCCAAAGGACATCCAAGGGGCTACCCTTTTGTAATGGGAAGGTAAGTAGAAGTCGTCTGTTAATAAATTTCCATGCATACATCTTTCATCAAACATGTTGCATCTTTGCCTGAATTCAAGAGGGAAGAAGAAAAGGAAAAAAGAATACTTGCTGGAGATTCACATAGACACTGATGAGATCGTTCCCTGAAAATTCATCTCCTTTTTTCTATGTATTAATTGTATCTGAAGTTATGTCAAGATGCTTTCACAGTTCAATTATCTCAGATATTTATAAATTGTACTCACTTTCTCATCTTTCTTGATAACATATTCATACCTTGATTTTGTATTCCATTACTAAGTCAGATATAACTTGCTCTTAAAGATTATAAATTATTTTTAAAATTCCTTGTTCTTTTTATTCCAGAAGCAAAACTATTGCATGTGCCAAGCATTTTGTCGGAGATGGGGGTACACATAAAGGTCTAAACGAGGGAAATACCATATCATCTTACGAGGACTTAGAGAGGATTCATATGGCACCATATCTGGACTGTATTTCTCGGGGAGTTTCTACTGTTATGGCATCCTATTCCAGCTGGAATGGAAGTAAATTACATGGTGATCGTTTTCTCCTGACAGAAGTATTGAAAGATAAGCTAGGATTTAAGGTAAAGAACCCATATAACATGCTCCTTTTTCTTGGTGGGAAAGATGAACTCAAAATTGCGCTATTAGGTAAAGAGCAAGTAAACAATGGGCATTTGTTAGCCTATTCTTGACTATTTCCGTGCAAATTACAATTTTATTGGTATTCAATGTTTTACCCCTTGTAAGAGCTTTTTTTATAATCATAGATTCTATAAAGAAATGTGACACTGCACATTTTGCTTGCTCATTGCTAGCTTTCTGGGCTCCTGATATGCTTCCTACTGATCAATTTGATGCAACTTTGTTAACATTAGAATGATATAGTGAAATTCAAATTAATTAAAAGAGGCACATTTTTATTGTTATTAGATGTGACTGTCAGATTTTGCGTGGGTTTTTTTTAAGTAGTTTCTCTAACATTAAAAGGCGGGATGTCAGATAAATAACGGTGTTTTTTCTGCTGCAGGGTTTTGTGATTTCTGACTGGGAAGCACTTGACAAACTTTGTGAACCTCAAGGTTCGGACTATCGTTTCTGCATTTCATCTTCTGTTAATGCAGGAGTTGACATGGTAGACATTGAACTTTAAGTTCAATTTGTTTGTTTCAATCCTTGATTTGCACATATTTTGTCTGATTGACAAGGTATGCAGGTGATGGTGCCTTTCAGATATGAACAGTTTGTGGAGGATTTGGTATATCTGGTGGAGCATGGGGAGATACCGATGTCCAGGATAGATGATGCTGTTGAAAGAATACTGAGAGTGAAGTTTGTTGCCGGTATTTTTGAGCATCCTTTCTCTGATAGATCCTTGCTAGACATAGTTGGTTGCAAGGTAAGTTCGTAGTGTCTTATATTCACCTCATAGAAAATCACATGCTTTGCGTTGCTCATTGAGCATATTCTATTTTAAAAATATTACTCTTATTTGAGGCATTTTGGACCTTGTACCAATCGGTTTGATACCTGAGATGCAGTTTTTACTGTTAATGTTTTTGTACAGCTGCATAGAGATCTAGCACGGGAAGCGGTTCGCAAGTCCTTGGTTATGTTGAAGAATGGAAAGGACCCAAGCAAACCTTTTCTCCCATTAGATAGAAAAGTAAAAAGAATACTTGTTACTGGAACACATGCCGATGATCTTGGATATCAGTGTGGAGGATGGACAGCAACTTGGGATGGTCGCAGTGGCAGGATCACAATTGGTATGAAATGTTATATGCCCACCGTTTGAATAATTGAAAGGCTATAGGTTGATTGTTATAATCAATTATTAATGTGACATTATGTATAACTTCACTAGACGAGGACAGTTGGATTTTAACTTTCATACAGATAGTTTTCGATAAGTTTTCTGTTTTGAGTTATTGAACTGAAAATCTGCTTCTTGAATAACTAATGCAAAGTAGAGACATTCTCTTTTCTAGTCAATGGGGAATCTGGTAATGTATTACTCCTAAATCATTGTATGCTCCCAAGGTCTTGGCCCACAGTTTTCTTCGCGGGTGAAGAAACAACGAAAACTTTCCTCTGCTCCCTAGTTAGGTTCTATTGTTTTTCAACAACGTAGTTAAATCTTATGCTGAAATTTTGTAGAGAACAAGGAATTCTTAGATTGTATATTTTCATGTTAATATTGTATACTCTCGCCTTGATTGCACAGACACTTAACTAATAAGTGATTTACATGTGAAGGCACAACTGTCTTGGAAGCTATCGAGAAGGCTGTTGGAGATGATACAGAAATTATTTATGAGCTATGTCCGTCGACAGAGACCTTAGCACGCCAAGATATCTCTTTTGCAGTCGTAGCTGTTGGTGAAGGTCCATATGCGGAATTCAGGGGTGACAATTCAACGCTTGTGATCCCCTTTAATGGAGCTGATGTTATAAGCTCAGTTGCCGACAGATTCCCCACGCTGGTGATTCTGATATCTGGAAGGCCCTTAACTTTAGAGCCCCAACTCTTGGAAAAGATGGATGCTCTTGTCGCTGCTTGGTTGCCTGGTAGCGAAGGAGAGGGAATTACAGATGTTATCTTCGGAGATTATGACTTTGAGGGCAGACTACCAGTTTCATGGTTTAAAAGTGTTGAACAGCTTCCCATGAACGCCAGAGACAACTCATATGACCCTTTATATCCTCTTGGCTTCGGGTTGACTTACAATAAGGGAAGGTCCTTGCGCTAAAATCATTCGATGACTGAGACCGTTCTCAAGAGTAGACTGAGTTTCCTGAGTCTATTTGAGCAGAGCCACCGTTCAGGAATAATTTCCACCTAGATGTTAAATGTCTCTGTACTTAATTGAATGTATGAATTTATCCTGTTCTTTTCTTATGTTACCTTATTACCGTGCCGCTTGTTCCTTGTCATTATAGTCAGCTGGCATGAAGGGTCGACTGTGGGATGTTTTCGTAGATCGGATACAAGTCATACTATCGGATCGATGTACAATGTCAATTTGAAATTCGGTTCTTTACAATAGAGAGATAGAAGGACGAGGTTTCCAGTCTCATATATCGCAACTAAAGCTTCGGATCCCAACTGATATTATTGACAATGGTATGTCTTTATCTGTTATACTCTTTTTCTTGTTCAGATATGCCTCAACTTCTACTCTTTAATCTGTTCAACTGTTTCTCCGATTCTTATTACTCACACAGAAATGAAACCGTTTAATCTGTGATTACATTAACTAATGTTGTTCAGATATGATGCATCTTCTGCTTTCCGACCTTCAATATTCTTTACTTTGATATGTAGAAATATGTCCCCCACAAGAGATTATTCCCAGATATCTCCGGGGGGCCAATGAAGTGAAGCATCATAGAGAATCAAACCCTACAAAAAGTCCTCTCATATCTTTTCTTTTGATGTATGAATATCTAGCCCTTTCTTACCAGGGATCCCGTTTTACTGTAGCAAAAAACCGGACCTAGGGCCCATAGGGAATTCTGGAGTGCATTTTAGCTACTAGCAATTTGACAGAGAAGAATCAGAATATAAGTTGAGAAAATGGAGAGAAAACAAGATGGCCGAAAGTAGAAGTACGGATAGTGAGATACTATATGTATGTGGTTAGAATTAGTTTTTGAGATGTTAATCAAACTAGGAATAAAGTGGTATAGGGTGCTTTTCTTTCCAAGTTGCAGAAAGGGTTGGAAAAGGATGGTGATTAGTTTGTCATTTTACTGTGGAGAAACCCAATTGTCAATGACTATATTGCCCATGTTGGTCTGGATTCTTTACTTCATACGCAGGGTTGAGTAGAACAGTATCTCATTGACCGAGAAAAATATATTTGGCACGGTCATGCAATAAGTAAGATAGATAGAAGGGGCATATGCCATGTTACACCCAAGATTTTGCCCAAACACGAGGATGTCACCCTAGTATGCCTATCTCGAAAATGGAACGAAATGAAAAATAGCACAGTGCAACTAGAGCCATTTGTTTATTGTTTTGCCATTTTGTTTAACTGTATGCTCTGCAATAGCGAGTTTCCCTTCGTATAAATTTGAAGTTTCACGTAGTAAATTCGCTAAAGTTGTTTTTAGTTTTTCTTGTTTTCTCTCCCTCGATTCTCTCATCCTTTTTCTTTAACCATCTGTTGGACAAAAGTAATGCTTCGGAATGTCTACTATATGATGTGCACATCGATATTAGAAATCTGCTGAGAGATACACACATAGATAGGCAGGGTGTTCAACGATGAAGAAGAGATGTTTCATGTTCGATTAGGGGTCAATGTTACGGACTGGAACCCTACACCGGATAGGAATGAGTTCGATCAATTCATGGGTTCACAAGGGTAGGAAAATAGTATCACCTAACAAGTTAATATTTTTGGGTTTGGGTGGCAAACATCCATGCCATGACATTACCTTTGTATGGTTATGGATCAATAGTCCAATGCGGAAATTAGTTCCACAAAAATCTTGTTATGTGGGAGGAAAAACTTCAATACGAGCATCCAGATCATGTGACCTGTCATCTATATTTTAACTCTCACCCAATGAACGTGTCCCGAACCCCTTGCTCTGCCATTGTACCGTAGTAGTGCGGCAGCCTTATTGAATACTCCCTCGTTCTAAGAATACAACGACAACAAAGCTTTATCCTACTAATTAGGGTTGATTGTATGAATCCTATACAGCCATTGCGTTTGGTTTTGCGCCAAATATTCCATCAACTCTAAGTGCTCCATGTATTTTTTTAAAATCTCTTTCCAAGTCTTCTAAAGTCTTCCTCCATCCCTTCTTCCATGAGCCCCTATCTCCATTATTGCATTTTCTAACCGAAGTATCTGCAGGTCTTCTGTTCACATGTCCAAACCACGTTAACCAATTATCTCTCATCTTATCTTCAATTGTAGCCACTTCTACTTTACCTCAGATATCCTCATTCTTAATTCTATAATTTCTTATATAGGCATACATTCAACGAAGAATTATCATCTCCACTACACTCATAATTTGCACGTTTGCACGTGTGATGCATACTCAGCTTCCAAAATATGCTTGCACTGTCATTGAACTTTATGCAGCTAAATAGTAGGTAATAATTGCTAGGTTGTCTTACTATATGGCATTGCATATCACTAGGTCACAGTAGCACTTAATTAGAAGCAAGATTCTTCTTCCAAATATATAAGAGAAGAAAGTCAAAAACGAAATATATACAAGTCATTTATATCCCCACCAAAAGGGAATCTCAAATTACGGAGTGAACTATACAAAATCAAGTAAAAAAAATTGTAAAAAAAGTGGTTTCACAAATTCTTCGTCATCATATGTATATGTGTGTATATGAAATTATAATAATAATACAGACTCAGAAAAAAGGGTAAAGAAGTCTTTCTGCCAATAAAGGGCTTCTTAATTTGTCTCCAAAATCTGTATCATGATCACAAGTTTAGTCTAAGACCTGATAGAGAACAATTAAATCTCTTTTAACATTATTGAGTTGGTAGGTGCCGTACACTTAGAATCATAAAACCACCATCGTCAAAATTCCAAATCCAGCACTGAAAACATGAACCACAAATTTATAGAAACTTACCGGACCAAATGTGTTCTGTATCTTGCTCTGTGCCGTATATTATTATATAATGGACCACTAATATTAGCTCCTTTCAATGAGCGAGTCATTCATCAATAACACTAAGTTATCAGCTGGCACATATAACAAACTGACTTATTAAAAAGAAAAGTTTATATTCATGTGTTCAACTGTGATTTGTTTGTAAAAAAAAAAAAAAAAAAACTCCCTCCCTGGAACGAGTCGAGTATTTTCCCAGCTTAATTAAATCATTAATCATCACTTCTAGACTACTAGAAGGGGATCTTCTTTCCTAATTAGAAGAGGATCTCATAGAAACAATGCCAGAAAAGTGATTGATGAAGCATAAGATGCTTGAGTTAGTGCAGGGAAGAGTTAGCATTTAATCAAAGTTTTTGCGACTTTGAAGGTGTTGGCTAGTCAACTTGCCCATTTTTTGAACCAAAGTAGTGAGACAGTCTAAAAAGAGTTAAAAGTAGGCAGTCTTACTTACCAATTACCATCGAATTCCAAACACAAGTGCTCTATGACTTGGTCTATTTGAATTCAAAACCCAGCATCCAGTGCCTTTCTTTACCTTTTTTTTTTCCTGGTGGAAGGCAACTAGTCTGACTGCATAGTCTAAAGACTAGTTAGGGAAGAAATTGTAAACATATCAAAAAAGGCAGCAGAAACTGTAAAGTTGAAAAAACCAGCTGAAGAAATAGAAAGCGTATCACAGAAAGCAACACAGCCTACAGTAGAATCTAAAAAACCGATTGAAGAAATTGCGAGTGCAACACAAAACGCAATTGTGGCTCCTACAAAATTGATAAAATCAGGCGAAGCAATCAAAGAGGTACCAGAAAAAACTACAAAGGTTGATGCAGAACTGAAGCAATCAGTAAAAGCAGCATCAAATGTATCACAAAAGGCAACAGAAACTGCTGCACGGTGAAAAATACCAATTGAGAAAATTGAAGATGCATCGGCAAAGACAACAAAGGTTGAAGCAGAAATACCGAAACCAGCAGAACAAACAGGAAATATATCGCAAAAAACAATAGAAGCAGCTTCAGAATTGAAAAAACAGGGTGATGAAATTGGAAGTGTATCAACAAAAGAAGTCAAGGCTACTGCAAAGGTGAAAAAACCAGCTGAAGAAATTGGAAGTGTTTTATGTAAGGCAGCAGAGGCTCCGGTGGTACTAAAAATACCATCTGAAGAAGAAGTTGGAATAATATCATAGAAAGCAAGTGAGGCTCCTGCAATATTGAAGCATCCATCCGAAGAAATTGAAAATGTATCACAAAAAGCAAGCGAGACTCCTACAGAACTGAAAACCGGCTGAAGAAATTGAAAGTGTATCGCAAAAAGCATCAAAGGCAACCACAGAATCAGGAGATTCAACTAAAAAAGTTGAAAATGTACCAAGAAAAAAAATAGAGGTAGTTGCAGAGTTGAAAAACCCAGCAGAGGAAAATGGAAACGTTTCAATTGGGGTAGCTGTAGAAGTGGAAAAACCAGTTAAAGTTGGGAGTGAATCACAAAGAGCAACTGAGGCTACTGTAGAACTGAAAAGGTCGGCTGAAGAAGTTGGAAGTGCATCACAAAAAGTGACGGAGACTCGTGTAGCTTCGAAAAAATCATCTGAAGAAATCGAAAGTGGATCACAAAAAATGATAGAGGCTCCAGAAAAAATAAAACATCCAGTTGAAGAATTAGGTAATGTATTACAACAAGCAACAATGGCTGGGCTAGAATTACCACCAGCTAAAGAAACTGAAATTCTACCACAAAAAGCATCAGAGGTTGCTGCAGAATAAAAAAAAAACAAGCCGAAAATTTTGAAAATGTACTGGGGAAAACAGCAGACGATAGTAAAGAGTTGAAAAAACCAGCTAAAGAGAGAGAAACAGCATCACAAAAAAACAGTAGAGATTCCGAGATAACTTAAAAGGTCAGCTAAAGAAACAGGAATTGGGTCATAAAAATTAGTTGTCTGCAACAGAATTGAAGCAAACGGCTAAAGAAAGTGAAGCAACTTCGCAAAAACAAGTAGAGATTTCGAGAGAACTCAAAAGGCCAGCTGAAGAAATAGGACTTAGATTGGAAAAATCAATAGAGTCTGCAGCAGAATTGAAAAAACTAGCTTAAGAAAGCGAAGGTGCGTCACAAAAAGCTTTAGAGCCTGCTACAGATTTAAAAAAACAAGCTAAAGCAAGTGAAGACACGTCACAAAAAGCATCGGAGCCTGATGCAAGTTTGAAAAAGACAGCCGAAGAAAATGGAAATGTTTCGCAGAAAGCGATTGGAGTTTCTTCAGATGAAAAAATTGATAATGTTGCACAAAGCTGGCCTTGAGGGAGTGCAAATGGTGTCACCGCACAGGGCATTGCCTTACTTTGTATTCGAACCCTTGACCTCTTAAAATTAATGAAAAACACTTATACGCGACACCATCAGTTGTTTGTATGAAATTCTTAGTCCTATTACAGTTTAGTACAACTGAAAAGATTTTACGATCTTATCATATTCAG